TATATATACGTATTCATAATTATATTTATTTTTAAAATGGTATTTATTTTAGTTAAACTAAAACCTCAACAAATCCAAATCAAAAAAAAAAGGTAGAATTTTTTTTTTACTTTTATTTTTTTTAAAAAAAACATATTATTCTACACATTTTCTAAATTAGCTCTATAAATAGACCCAAAAAATAACTAGAATGCATCAACACTAGGTTTTACAATGCTTTTTAATCCTTCGTTTTTCTTTCTTTTTTTTTTTTAAAAGCAAAGTTTTTTTTTTTTTTTTTTTTCATTCTAGTTAATATAAAATAATTTCTTAAACCTTCTAATATTACCCATAAAAGATTCTACCATTGAAAGTAAAGTTTTTGTGAAAAAAAAAAAAAAATTGTTAAAATAAAATTGAAAATATTTTATAATTTTATGAATTATTATCCTTTTTTTATTTTTTTTTTTTTTTTTTTTATTCACTTTTATTCTTTTTTTTTAAATCTTCCAAGTGATACAAAAAAGGATAACGATAAAGATAATTTTCAACCTCTAATTTATACTGAAAAATATTATTTTTAAAAAAATAAAATTAATTTAAAAAAAATATTTAATTTTAAAAATGTGTTTACATTTGATTATTATAAAATAATAGATGTGTGACTATTTAAATTAAAAATGTGTCTAAATTTGTTGATAATTATAAAATAATATATGTTTGTCTTTTTCTAATAAATGTGATATATGTTTGTGATTATTATAATAAATTTGAATTGATTTTAGAATTGTTGTTATATCACATAATGATGAAATAATGATGAAATAATGATGAAATAATGATGAAATAATGATGAAATAATGATAAATCATGTCCTCGTCGAGATTAAAAAAATAACTAGATCTTGTTATTTTAAAAAAATATATTTCTTTTATTCAAAACTCCTAAACAGACTAGAGAAATAGGTGCTTTTCCTTCGTTGATCTTTTCTACTATCACAGTAATTTGTTTTTCCGTGATATCATTGCTGAGTTTATCTATGATCATTTTGTTAACTGCTACATGCCAAGTTGATAGTGGCTCCATGTGAATTTCTTTATTGCTGGTTCTTTCTTGGTAAATTTCTTTGTTGTATTTTGCTCCTATGTTTGCATCAGTATTTACCTGTTCATTTTCTGATTTTTTAAGTGAGTTAATTATTGCTGCAGATTCCCTTGATTTAGGTTTAGCTGTTGTATATTTGTTTTGTTTTGTTTGTGGCTATTATTGAGATAATTAGTTGAGCTTTTAATATTATACATTAGTTGATCAGCTTCAACAAATACAATTACAAACATGGTTCTTTCTTTCTCTTTAAAACATACATAAATATCTGCACCTACTGAATTCCATAAAAATTCATTATTTAGTTCTAAAAAACTTAATATAATTTCAACATTAGAATCTTTCTTTATCGGCTCTGCTATTAATCCAAATGATTCTTTATTTTCATTATTTTCTATTAACCAACTAATTAAAAATTTCCAAATTTATTATTATTGATTTATATATAAAGTTTGATACTTACAAATGTATTTGAAGCTTCCCCACCTAAAAATTTTTTTTTGCTTTAAACCATTGCATAGCTTCCAATCAAATTTGGGAATTCATCATTGATCCTAACTTTATCAAAACATACAGGTCCAAATATTTGAATATCTAATATTAAGATTATTGTTAACAATTTGACATTTTATGTTTAACCCTTATAGTGTCGAGAAAAAAAAATTTTTATAAAAAAAAACAATATTTTGGCAAAGAGTTTTTTCATGATTACAAATAAAAAATAATATGATTTTGAGTTAAAATAAATAAATATATTATAAAAATATATTTATTTTAAAGTTTATTTAAAATTTTATAGTTAATTGATTTATTATTTATATTCTTTGATTAATTAAGCTTGAACAACTTTGAGTTTTGGATTATGGAACGCAACATTGCAAAATTCATGGAGCACTTTATGACATCGAGATAAAATATAAATTTCTTTAATAGTTTATACCCATTACTGCACATATAACAAGGACATCTTTCTTTTTTATTTTCATCAATTGTAATATTAACTATCAAAGTTAACTGTATTATTCATATTTGTGTGACAATAAAATTTTAAAATAAATTTGAATTTTTTATGAAACTTTAAGGGTTAAAATGATTTATTTAATATCAAATTAAAAAAATTTAAAAAAAAAGAAATTAAAATAAAAAAAAAAATAAAAAAAAAAATAAAAAAAAAAATAAAAAAAAAATTGAGTTTTTAAAAAAATTTATTATAATATCAAAAGCATAACAAACCCCAACACAATTTGTATTGTAAATTGGGCTTTTTTGTTCAAGATTCGAAATCACAACATTTTTTTTTTATCTCCATTTGTATTTCACAAAAAGATATTATTTTGATTGTTTTTTTGAAAATAATTTTTTTTTTTTTTTAATTTTTTTATTTTTTCAAATATTAAATGGGTTTTTTTTTTTTTTAAAAAATGGTTGATGATTTAAAAAAAATCTTAATTTTAAATTTTTCTTTTTTTTTTTTTATTTTTTTTTTTTTGGTTTTTCTTTTTGATTTAATTTTATTTATAATCTTCTTTTTATATTATTTTTATTCTTTTAATAATAATTATTATTATTTTTATTTTAATATATCAAAAAAAAAACAAAATAATTTTTTTTTTTAACACTTTTTTTTTTAAATTTTTGAAAGAAAATAAAAAATTTAAAAAATAATAAAATTATTTCACATTTTATTTTTTGTGTGGGAAAAATGCGCATAATAAAATTACAAACATTAAAGTCAAAAAAGAAAATATTATGAATATTTTAATAGCAAGTTATTGTAATGAAAGAGAAGATATAATAGAATATTTAATCAAAAAACATAAAGATGAAATATACTCAAAAATAAAATATGAAGTATTAATAGATCCATCAATGTACAATAGAAATAATGTTAAACTATTTGAAATATTATGAATATTTTAATAGCAAGTTATTGTAATGATAGAGAAGATATAATAGAATATTTAATCAAAAAACATAAAGATGAAATATACTCAAAAATAAAATATGAAGTCTTATTAGTTCCATCAATGTACAATAGAAATAATGTTAACCTATTTGAAAATATTATGAATATTTTAATAGCAAGTTATTGTAATGATAGAGAAGATATAATAGAATATTTAGTCAATAAACATAAGCAAAAAATTAAAAAGATCCAAAGAGCATTTGGAGGAAAATTACCAAAGGAGGTTGTGTGCAGCACTTCAATCTATCTAAAATGGTGGTAAATTAAGCGAAGCAATGAAAATTTTTAATTTATCAAGAGGGTGTTCGCATAAAAGGAATAAAATGTGAGATATAGTTTTCGAAAACCAATTTATAAAAATGTAAGTTATAATTGCATTATTTAATCATGAAAAAATATTTATTAATTTCAAAAAAGATGAATTAACAAAACAATATGAACAACAGTATTCCACATTTAAAAATGAATATGAAACAAAAGTCAAATTGTATGAAAATAATCTCAAAATAGCAGAAAGTACTTTTGAAGAAATGAAAAAAGAAAACGAAATACTCAAAAATAATATGAACATTAATGAAATTGCAAAACAACAAATTAGCATGCATCAACAACGTATAACAAATCTTGAAAATTACAACAAAAAGTTATATAATGATTGCGTTGATCTTTACGCATATAACCAATTGTTAATCTCTGAAAACAATTTCGCAAAAAATGATATTGCTGCCTATCAGGAAAAAACAGAAAATCTGGAAAGCAATTTCAATAAGTATCTTCAGGTTAGACAAGAAATAATTGAAAAATACTGTTGTAGCACCAAAGTCATTGCCCTCGAAAATAATAAACTTAGGGAACAAATAAACAGCCAAGACAAATACTGTGCTTCACTATTAAAAAAATGTAATGAAAGAATACCATCTTCAATTTCGTAAGAGAGCGGTTTGTTAAAAACAAGTGGTTCTTTATTTTCGCCTTCATCATGGATTTCACTAAGATGGTTTAGAAGCTCTGTTGAAAATTTTGGAACAGGCTTCATAACTTTTGAAAACTCTTGTGAATCTGAGGAAGTGAAGAGAGTGAGATTTTTTGTCCCATCTTCAACAACTTCGTGCTGATACATGTACGAACTAGCAATCGTAAATAGATAAACAAATTTACCAATGAAAATTTTCTTAGGTATCATGATTTTCGCCTATACCGTCGATTGGAAGTTAATTTTTTTCACTGATGAATGTTCTTTTTGCTCAAAAGATTTGCATAGAAGACGTGCACTTGGCCAAGAAATGAGGAAAGAATAGTTTCTGTTAAAGAAAATTTATCTGAATCCTCTATTAGGTTTTTTACAATCGGTTAGTTTGGCAAATTTTCTTATAAACTTGGAAAAGAGACCAATAGGATTCCAGATAAATTTTCCTATGGTACATATTCCTCAAAAAAAAAAAAAATTATTCCAAAAAAAAAATTTATCTTTATTTTTATTTAATTGGTTAATTAAAAAAATTTTAAATAAAAATAAAATAAAGGCAGCATTTATTAAAATAATGAAATCTGGGTATTGACGCACAACTATATAATTGGACATTGTAGTGAACAAGGATCATTACTTAATAATAATCAACAATTATAATAGTTTATTAAAAAAGAATTTTTTAAAAAAATAAATTTTTATACATTATAAAAAAAATTAAAAAAATAAAAAATAATAAAAACTTTTTAGTTTTTGAATTTTACAAAAACATAAACATTTCATATAAATTTTATTTTATTTAATTATTTTATCTTAGTACCTTACAACATAACGGATTTACTGAAATCTAGAACTTGTGTCAAGTAAGTTGTTTAGGTTTTTTGGGAAGCTGCCGGATAGGAACCACTAATTTTTTCTTTATCTAAAACCATTCGATGATACCATAGTTGCTTGGCCAGAACAATGTCTGATATTTATCAAATGAAAAAACTCATTGTCTATTGTTTCTATTTTATTTTTATTATCTATAATTTACTATATTATTACTAAGATCTATACTTTAAGCTATAATTAATATTTATATATTTTTTTTATAATGTATGTTATATAAGAGATAATAACCTTTTTTGAAAAAAAATAACCCATTTTTTAATTTACCTATAAAACAAGAAGGGTAAAGTATGTGCAAATGGGAATAATATAATATAAAAAATAAATATATATATAAATTTATTTACAAAAAAATAAAAAAATATAATAAAATGATTAAAAAAACAAATAAAAATATAATAAGTTGATTGGCTTGGCTGATCTGGATACGAAAAAACTAAGCTGATTGGCTTTGGCTGTACAAGAGAAGGAGGCTACAAATTTAAGTTTGACTGTATACAAATGACTTTTGGTTGCTAGCTTGAATTTAATGAAAAATAAATAAGAAGGAGGCTACAAATTTAAGCGTGACTGTTTATAAATGACTTTTGATTGCTAGCTTGAATTTAATGAAATATAAATTCAAAAAATCTTTATATTGAGCTTTAAAAAAAATATAATAAGCTTAGCTGATTGGTTTTGGCTGAACACAAAAAGGAGGCTACAAATTTAAGCTTTACTGTATACAAATGACTTTGAATTGCTAGCTTGAATTTAATGAAAAATATTTATATTGAGTTTTAAAATTTATTTAAAATATGAAATAAAAAAAAAAAAAAAATTTTGTTATAATTTTTTTAATATAAAAATAATAAAAAAAGTATAATAATTTCCTTTTGAAATTTTTAGTCTAAAGCAATCATAATTTAAAATATGAAATAAAAAAAAAAAACTATTGTTATAATTTCTTTAATATAATAATAATAAAAGCATAATTATTTCCTTTTGAAAATATTAAAGATCAGAATCAAACTGAGTATTTTTTGGTACTTTTTAATATATAGCAATCATATCTTTAATTTTTTCATTTTTTTTTTAATTAAAAAAAAAAATTTATTATAAATTTCATTTAAATAATTAAAAAAATATAAAAAATATAAAAAAAATAAAAAAAAATATATATACAACCCCACACACTTGCTTTTATGATTGCTATAGATTAAAATTCACCAAAAAAGGTACACCCAGTTGATTCTAACAAATCAAACCCAAACAAAGTTATCAACCTCACCAATTCAATACTAAACTAAACCAGTTTTGGATTTTTAAGCTATAACTCCAATATGGTTTTTTCGTATCATGTAATGTATTCATATACATTTTAGAATTAAATGAATATTACAGTTATAATTATATCTCAACTAAATAATATATTTATATTTTCCTTTATTTTAAATAATTTATTATTTAAAATTAAAAAATTAAAAATAAAAAAATAAAAAAATTGAAAAATTTAAAAAATAAAATTTTATTTTTTAGTTTTCAGTTTTCTGTTTTAGTTTTCACAAACAAATAATTGTATATTTATTTGATTTTAGAATTATTTATATTTATTATTTATCTATAACTAAAGTAGCTCCATCTACATTACACTGGGTTTCGAATTACAATCAAAATCACCGGGAAGATAAAAAGTTCGTCAAAAAATATACGAGACCATCAGGGGTCGAACCTGAGACCTACCGGTTCGTAGCCGGTCGTTATATCCAACTAAACTATAGTCCCTTCGATGAAATATTATTTTTAAATAGATTTTAGCATCTTTAAGATGATTGTTATAAATTGTAGTCACCATTTAATTTATATGATATTTTCATAATTTAAATTTTTGTTATATTATTATTAAACTATTACAAAATATTAATGTTATTAACTTTAAATAAAATGTTTAAATATGGTATCTTTAATTTAATTAAGTAATTTTGTGGTAATTAATTATAGTCCAAAAAAAAAAATTTTATAATAATTTTTTATTTTTTTTTTAAATTTTTTTTAAAAACAAATAGGACAGAATATTCATAAAATATAGAAAAAAAACAATTGTTTTTTTAGAGTTGCAACTTATTTCCATATTTTAATTTTGTGTATTATGTTTTTTTATAAAATTTTAATCTTTTTCGATAAAGTATCTGGTATTGGGTGTTTACTATATGTTATTCTTGATAGTGCAAAGGATTTGAGGAAAAACAAGAGCACCAAATCAGTGCAATATTCTCTCAAACTCTATATAAATAAATCGAATATTTTTATGATTATTGATGAAATCTTTCAAGAGATGGAGAGACAGAAAAAAAACTAATAATAAGTATTCACAAGACAGAAAAAAAACTAATAATACTCATTTACAATTTCATCATCTGTCCCCTCTATACAATTTAAACAGCAACCGTTAAACCATCAGCTAAACCAGTTCCACCTCACAAGCTATTTTTAATGTCGCAATGCCAACATCAGAAAACAAAACTGCCGCTTCCTCACCATAAAATAATACTGCACCAAATTCATCACCAGTTACAAACTCATCCACCAATAAAATACTCTTTACAACCACCACCAATAAAATTTGATTTTTTTTAATTTGATTTTTTTTTTATTTTTTTTTTATTTTTTGTGTGGGTGTCATAATTAAGTTTTTTTTTATTTAAAAATTAATTTAAAAATAATTTATTTTTTTTTTTTTTTTTTTTTTTTAAATTTTTTATTAATATTTTTACCCGCACATCATGGATAGTAAAAAAAGAAAAAAAAATGATACAGAGAACAATAACACCAATAATAATGCTAATAGCAATAATAATAATAATAAAAAAACTTGGATTCCAAAACTGCTATAAATTCATACACTGAATCTTTCAAGACCTTTCAGATGAATATATTTAATCAACCATATCAAGAGTCTTGAATGTTTGATTTAATATATCATCTGATAGGTCTTGAAAAATCCAGTATATGAATTTATAACTTTAAATAGATATACACCCCGAACCACATTTTTTTCATTTATATGCAAAAAATAAAATTACTTATAAATAAAAAAAAAGTGGTACACAAAAATATTTGGTTAAAAAATTTATTTAATATTATCTAAAATTGATTGAAATAATTTTTTGATATAAAATAAATTTGAGTTATTATTTGTTTATTCCCATCTTCGGGTGGCTCTATAGGCTTTAATAGAATTGATTGTACTTTATTTTGACTGTATTTTATTTCTGTTCTAAAGGAAAACTCTATTTCTTCATCTAAATTTTGGTTGACCAAATTGTTTAAAAAAGATTTGCATTCTATAATCTTTTCGTCTTTTCCTGTGGTATCAGTTTCACGACTATTATCATTTATTATTATTTTATTTTTATTAAAATGGTTATTTAAACTATTAATTATTTCTTCTTTATTATTACTACTGTCGTTATTAAACTCTTTCATTAAACCTTCTCTATAAAATTTCCTTCTTTCTAATCTTGTTAAAAAATCACTATTCTTATTGTAATTACTATCATTACTATTATTAATTTTTAATTTTTTATTATTATTTATACATGATGGCTGAAAACTATCATCTACTATCCAACCCATAACCCATCTATGTGTATTTCCTTGAGATAATTCTGCTGTAAAAATTTTGAATTGGGTAATCCAAAATTTTTCTTTAGTAAATCCAATAGTGGTTTTAAATTACATTTCCTACCAACCATTGAGCTGTAGAATTTGATTTTTGATTTTAAAACAATGCTTTCCTCAATTATCTTTTTAATAAATAAACTCTCCACCCTCTGTAACCAATTCATTTGCTGATCCTGTGCATGTCGATTTTGGGTTTATATTAGTTTCGCTTAAATCGTTGAAAAATGGTGGATTGCATAAACAAAAATCAAAAACCTCTTCATTTTTTTCTTCATCTTGGTTTGCTTGAAAATAGTTGAATAATATCTTTTCTTTGTTTTCATTTTTAAATAATGATATTTTGGACTCTAATGAATTTAATTCTATATTCTTTTTTGCAAATTTTAAAGAGCTATCATCGATATCCAATCCTAAAAAACTCCAATTTTTAAATAATTTAACACCTAGTAATGGAAATATAGATGATGCACCTGTTCCGCTAATTAAAACAATGTTGGTAAACTGCACTTTATTTAAAAAGTAATAAAAATATACATACATATCAATACCTTTAACTACATTATTTACATCAATACCTAAATTATTTAGTTTTTCGTTTAACCAATCTTTAAAGATCGAGTTACCAGAAGACTATTTATGTCCAACTATAACACTTAGATCAAATTATTTAAACCAAAATCATGGTCTAATAAAACTCTGGTAAATTCTCTTGTTGCATTTGGATCTTTCCAATCTATATTATAAATCTTTTCAGCTTTATTAACTATACTAAACAAAATTATAAATTGCTGTTGGTATCATTATTATGCTATTTACTAATATTAATATTAAAATATTTACAATTTATAAAACGAGGGATACTTATTTGCAAGTATTTTGAAATTTGGTGGATTATATCGATAAAAGTTTTGAGGGTGCATTTTATCGTGTCTTTTTTCTCTTTTTATCAATCCATTTTAAAAGATCTTCATTATTTCCACTTTGCGCTTCATTACCATAATTCTCTGTAATCATTGTTTTATTTATTAAAAAAAAAAATGAAAAAATAAAAATTAAAAAAAATTAAAATTTTAATTTAAAAAAAAAAAAATTTTATTTTAATTTTTTAAATATTCAATAATTTTTGTATAAAATGATTAAAAAAAAATAGAAAAAAAGGGTTAAAAAAAATTTAAAAATGGTGGAAACCAAACAAATTATGATGTGTGTATTCATAATTCTAATATTTATTTATAACATACTTTTGTGCTTAATTATTATTATCTTTGTTATTGACTATTTATTTATATTATTGTTAATATATATTTATTTACAACTTTTATTTGAACCAATTGATAATGGCAGTTAGGCAGATTTTAATAAATCTTTATTTCCATTCATTTCCTATTTTGATTGATGTTTTTTTCTAATAATTATATGAGCAATAAATTGATTTGCATAAACTCAATCAATATCTACAACAATTGAAGAGCCTCCTCTATTACTATTCATAAATGGTTGAAAAGTGGAATGGGGCAGAGGTATTTTTTGTGTGGAATAAAAAAATTTAAAAAATACTAATTTTTTTATTTAAAAATTAAAAAATTTAAAACCGTGATAAAAAGTGTTTATACTGCTGGTTTATGAATTTTGGTGCGATTGTTGATGTGGTGGTTGTAAAAGGTGTTTATACTGCTGGAATGTGGCGGTGGCGGTGAAATAAAATGTTTTGAACTTTAAGATGCGTGGCTCTGATTTTTGGTTATGGTTACCCTGAAGATTTTCGTGCACTTTGTTGAATATTGGATCAAAAAAACCCTAATGTTAGATTAGAAACTTTAAACTGAAAACTTATTGATTTTGAAAAATATAGAATTTGAATTAAATTAAAAAAGTTATAAAGTTAAATGTTAGTTTCTTTTATATTCAAATATTATAATTATCAAGTAAATATCTTTATTATAGTTACCTGGTTGAATTATTAGCTGCTATGTTGGACTGGAACATTTAGTATTAGTTTGAACTTTTTCTTGCATTTTCTGTAGAACTGAACCATATAATGCCATATTTATTATTTTGATGTAGACGTGGCTAATTTTATAAACTTTGGATGATTTAGAAAACTGTAATAATTTCTTGAAACAATGTAACTAATATTTAACTCTTTACCTATTTCATTTAATGAAACATTGAATAAAGTATGTAAACTATTAATTTAATCGCCATCGATTCATAAAATGAAACTTTGAATTAAACGATTTAATTAATATTTAGCTCTTCACCTATTTCATTTAATGAAACAATGAATAAAGTGCTTAAACTATTAATTTAATTGCTATCAATTTCAAAAGGTACTGTAATTATTACGTCTATTATAATATAGGTGACCTGAAAGAAAGGAGTCATCATTGTATCTATCATCGGATTCATAGCCAGGATAATCGATATTAAATTCTAGACATCTTATCTACAATTAAATAAAGAAATAAATTAATATATGTTTTAATTAAGTATAAATATGAATGTATGAATTACTTACTTTAATGGTACGGATTGATTGTCTACACAATGGGCATTCTTTTTTAATTTTAGAAGATTTAATAATGCATTTATAGCAAAATTTGTGGCCACAATTTATTGTTGCCATTTTAGAGTCCTCTATTTCATCATAACATATAGAGCATACGATATTTTCTTGTTCTTGTTCTTGTTCTTGTTCTTGCTCTTCTTCTTGTAATTGTTTTAGTTCTAGTTCTATTTCCAAAAGTTCCTTTCTTGCTCTTTCTTTTCCTAGTCTTATTTCTTCTAAACGTTCCTCTTCTAATCTTTCTTCTTCTAATCTTTCTAATCTCTCTTTTTCTAAACGCTCTCTTTCTGCACGTTCTCTTTCTAAACGCTCTCTTTCCATTCTCTCCATTTCTTTCTTTTCCATTTCCACACGAGCTTTTTCTGCTTCTACCCTTTTTTCTTCCTCCTCGTCTTCAAATCTATGTTTTTTGAGGGGGCGCATATTGTGACCAATATAATTTTGATCATCAGACTCCAATGGTCTCTTCTTCATTGGGGTACTACGAGTTGGTTTTGGGGCACCTCTATTATTGAAAACTGGTGGAACATTTGATGGTTGTGGGTGTTGTTGATTTGGACCGGTTGTCATAATTAAATCAGAAGTAGAATAATGTGAGTAAATTTGGTTATTTGATGGGAAATGGTAATATTGAGCCCTTGAAAATGGATTTTGTTGTTGGTGTTGAGAGGTTTGTTGGTGTTGGTGTTGGTGTTGTTGTTGTTGTTGTTGTTGTTGTTGTTGTTGTTGTTGTTGTTGTTGTTGTTGGTGTTGTTGATTTTGTTGTGGTTGTGTTCTATTTACTGGAGCAGTATAAAAAATTGGTGTAGTTTGTTGTGGGTAAACGTAGGTGTTGTATCTGTACAAATAATCGATCCCGGTGTTATTTCTATGGTTATTATTGGTTGAAAATAAATATGAAATATAACCTGGTAAAAAACCGGATAAAAAACCGAGGACAATACAAAGAAGTAATACTATAAAACCAATCATTTTATATTAAATTATTATTATTAAATAATGGTGATGTGGAAGGTGATTTACAAATTATTATTTGATTATTGCTAAAAATTATCTAATTAATATAAAAAGCTATTGATATTATAAAATATTATTATTGTGTTGATTGTTATAATAAATAAATAAATGTAAATTATTATTTGTATGCAGATAAATTAATATAGGAAAAAAATAAAAAAATTTCTTTAAGGAATGAAATTTAAAAATTAAAAAAAAAAAATAAAATTGAAATAAAAAGTTTTTATTAAAAATTTTAAATTAAAAATTTTTTTTTTTAATCATTATAAAAAATTAATGGGGTGTGGCACACAATTCATAGTGGTTGTTAAAATTTTTTTAAAAAAAATTAAACAGAAGATTTCTTTAAAAGGAAAAAGTAAATCCAATTAGGGAACTTCACTATTATTAAAAAAAAAAATTTATAATTTTTCAAAGATGAATTATAGATTTTAATATATTTGGAGGAAACTTTTATTAAAGTTATTATAATAATTTACATTATCATTATAATTTTTAATAAATATATTAATAAAAAAAAAAAAAAAATTTTATTAGGTTTTGGTTTTTTAGTTCAATCCAGTAATTTTATGCCCTGTTTATAAAGGATGTTATGAATAGGACCTTTATCAACAACAATAATATAACTAAAAAAAGAAATTAAAATAATAATTTTATAAATTAAATAAAAATATAAAATAACTTTTTAAATTTCGAATTTTATAAAACATAAACAATTTCATAAAAGTTTTATTTTATTTAATTATTCGATTTTTGTATTTTTTTATAAAAGCAAATATGTTTTACATTCCTTAAGCCATTAGTGTTTTATTGTGTTTTGGTATATATTTTATACCTATATCACACTGCGTGCAAGTAGGGCACATGTGAGATTCTGGAAACCTGTAGGACTTTTTTTTTTTATAAAAGTGACGGTGATTCTTAATGATACATTTAGTCGTCAGTATTTTAAATGTTTTTTTTTTTTTTTGGTATGTGTTTAATATACTTTTATCATTTTTTAAATAAACTTTTGCCACACTTTACTTTTTTTTTTTTTTTTTTAAAAACAAAAATAATTTTTAGTAAATGAAAATGCTTTAAATTAACAGTAAATTAATAGGAAAACCTGCGATTCTTGTGATTCGAACACAAAGGGGCCTACTGCAATGCCCCATCCATAACAAAATAGCATATCACCTAGAAGATAAAACCTATCAAAAATTCGCCCAACGGGGGGCTCGAACCCCCGACCACAAGATTAAGAGTCTTGCGCTCTACCGACTGAGCTAGCCGGGCTTTGATATTTATTTTTAATTGTGTGTGGTATAACTGCGCCGTTGATATATTTAGAGTGAAACTACACCTGGAAAACTACAGAATTTTACATGTATTGATGAATTACAAATAAAAATTAAATAACAAAAACCATTTCAAAAAAATTAAATAATCAAAATTAAATTACTAAAAAAAATTAATTTATTTAATAAAAAAAAATAATAAAAGTCTTGTTAACCTTTGCGCCATCTTATTGAAGGGTTAAGTCAAAAAATTGTGGTTAGCAATTAATAAAAAAACTGCGCCGTCAGACTACCCATTAATCGCCATTATCGCGATATCATACCGTGTGCACCATCACCAGATATTTATTAAGATAGTTAGGTATTCGAATAATCTTTTATTATCAAAGAATAATTTATTATAATAATCACTTTTAACGTCTAACTGACTATTTTATAAACAATATAAATATTTTAAATTCATATTCAATTTTTTCAGAGGTTTATTTTCATTACTTAATAAAATATAATATTTCATCTATCTAAATTTACTTTTGTGTTTTCTTTATATTTAGTTTCTTTATATTTATATATAATCACTTTTTACTTATATAGTACATCATAACATGTGTAATTACTCAGCTCGCTGATCTCGTAGAAATATTTCAGATATCTTTAGCATGAAAATACCTCCGGGAGTTACAGATTATTATCGATGAACTAAAAATAATAAAGATATTAAACAACATAATTTTTACAACTAAAATTAATTAAACAAAATTAAAAAACCAAAAAAAATTGAATTTTAAACTAATAACATTCGTGTTAACCCTTACTCCATTCGAAATGAAATGAGAAAGAAAAATAAGTGGCTAACGATTTAGACAAAAAACTTAGAGGTTAAAAACTATCGTTATATTTTTTTTCCAAAAGTTTTTAATTATATTTAAAACATAATAAAATATTCTTTTTTTAAATTTGAAACTTTAATTTTTTTTTAAAATTTACTTTAAAAAAAAAAAAAAAATTCGGTGAGTTTATATTATAATATATATAAAGGTTTTTATTATTTGATATTTTTTTTTGAAAAAAGAAAAAATATTTTAACTTTTTAAATTATAATTTGTAAGTGAGATAATAATATTATTTATTTAATTTTTTTTTTAATTTTTTTTTTTTCTTTTCGCATATACCGCAACCAAAAAAAAAAAAAAAATTTGCCACAACACAAACAAACTTTAAGTATAAAAAGATTTTTTTTTTAAAATGAAATCTAAAATGTAGTTTAAAAAAAACCCAAACAATTTTTTATTATTATAATAAAGAAAGATCTTTTTGTGATAGTATTGAATTGGAAATCTTTGGATATTAATATAAATTTTTTTCATAAACAAAACACATTTTAATTTATTTTTTGCAAATATTTAAAAAAAAATTCCTCGTATAACAAAATATCTTAAAAAATACGGTTTTTTTTTAAAAAAAAAAAATAAAATAAAAAAATACAAAAATAATTTTTTTTTTTTTATTTTAATATTTTCACACCAACAACAATAAAGTTATACTTATATTCGTACCAATTGCACTTTATAATAACTAGTCAAAAAAGACTCATAATAATAAATGATGAAGTTATTATTATTATTCCTTTTATTAGGAATAATGATACCAACCATTTTTTCACAATCAAAACCAAAAACAATGGTAATCGAAGGAACAATTTTTGACCATAATCCATGTATGTGTTATTTTAAAATTTAGATATATAATTATAATTTTTTAATATTAATATTTATAATTTTTTTTTTTTTTTTTTTTTAAAAAAATTAAATGAATTTCTTTAATTTCATATTTAATAGTATATAATGATAATTTTCAAACACCACCAGGAAGTGATGTTAGAAGTGTGGGTATGGTAAAAACCAATTTAAATGAGACATACAGAATTCCAAATTTATCATCTCTAGATAAAACCACAACACCAAATAGGTTAGGTTCAATATCTTCGCCAAGTACTTTTCCAAATTTTTTCCTTTCAGGTCGAGATTTACCACTCACCAAAAACTCGGGTGCAAACATTCCAATTAATATCAATATCACATTAACTTTAAATGAAAAGACTAATTCATATGTTTATGATAATCAAGAACATTTCCCAAGTAAGTAGATTTAATTATTTTAAAATAAATCTAATTTTTTTTCTTTTAACACTAATCATCTTTTTCTTTTTCACAGTCGATTTTATTGGTTATGATGTTGATCCAAAATTACGTATTTATAAAAAAGGCAACACCTATCATAATTTCCATTTTTGTTTAAAGGTAAATATTTATTATTTATAATTTAATTTTTAATTTTTAATTTTTTTATTAATTTTTTTGAATATTTAAAAAAAATAGATAAATAATAAATTTACTTTTTCAGGAAATGAAGTATTCAATTTTATTGGTGATGATGATGTTTGGGTATTTATTGATAATAAATTAGTTGTAGATCTTGGAGGTATTCATCCACCACAAACTCAAAATATTAGTTTATCAGAACTTGGTTTAACTCCATCAAAAGTTTATAATTTTGATTTCTTTTATTGGTAAGTTTTTTAAATTCTATTTTTTAAAATTATTTTAATTAATTATTTAAATTATATTTCTATTACCACAGTGAAAGACATACAGATGGTTCAAGTATTAGAATTGAAACAACTATTGAAGCATATTGCCCATGGTATGATTATTGTGGTGTCTGCACTGGTGATGGCTCAGTATGTTGCAGTCTAAAAAATACAAAAGAGGGTCAAGTTTCATGTGATGATAATGATCCATGTACCGATGATTCGTGCCCAGATCCCAATAGTGGCATTAACTTTGATCAAATTAAAAAAAACTGTAAAAATACACCAAAAGATTGTTCACCATTAGACAAGTGTTCAACAAGATCCTGTAGTCGTGAAAAAAATGGTGAATGTGTTTCCACACCACTCCAACCAAAAGATAGATCCAATGAATGCTTAGATTATGTTGGATGTGATCCAATCAACGGTTTTATTTATAAATCAAGATGCCAAGGTAAATGTGATACTGGCAAGTGCAATAATGGTGTATGTCAACCTAAAACAAATTCAACATGCAGCAGCGAGTTAGGCGGTGATCTTTGCAGAAACTACTATTGTGATTCAACGGCTGGTTGTACCTCTAAACCAAAATGTGAAACAAGTCCTGATGTATGCAAAGAAACTAAATGTTCCGCCGGTGTATGCTCTTATCCACAAATCCCACCCGAACAATGCAATTGTGATTGTAAGTTAAACAAATGTCAAAAGAATAATTGTGTTCCAAAAGGCGATGGTACAAGTGTTTGCTCACCACTTGATATTGATGAATTGGATGATGGAAATCCATGCACAATCGATGAGTGCGATCCAAACACCGGTAAAGTTACACATACCCAAACTGATAAGTGTGGTGGTTGTATGAAATGTGATCCAAAAAGTACAGAAGGTGATTGTGTATTAAATGACGATAGTTGTGAAGATGGTAATATTTGCACCGATAATAAATGTACAATAGATTCAAAAAATAAAAATTTAGGTATTTGCGTCAATTCATCAGTAGAATGCGGTATCAACGATAGTAACAAATGTTTACTTTGGAGCTGTGATCTTGAAAAAGGTTGTGTTTCCGAAAAATTAGTTTGTCCAAATAATGGAAATTGCCAAGGTAAATACATTTATAAATATATAATATTAATATTGGTTACTAATATATTAATTTATCTTTTTTTTTTTATAGTCGGTGTATGTAATGAAAAGACTGGTTGTTATTTAGAACAAAAGAATTGTACATCCCCAGCATTTTGTATTGTTTCAGAATGTGATGAATCAGTTGGTTGCATTCAATATGATCGTAGATGTGCTAGTGATGATAATAGATGTAAAGCTGGTGTCTGTGTTAATGGTACTGAAACAACCGAGGGAGAATGTCGTTCAGTTAATTATGATCCATTACCATTTATTTGTAAAACTGCTGCTGTAGTATCAACTGCTGTTATTGCAGGTGTCACTGTTGCAGGTGCTGTTGCTTTGGGTATTTTCTTATACGGTGGTAAAAAAGGTTATGATTATTGGAAACATTCTCAAAGCATTAAATTCACAAACTCTTCATCCAATCCATTATATGTTCAATCATCCAATGCAGGCACCAATCCATTGTACAGCGAAGAGGGTGCTAATGCTGTACTTTAAGGCAAAAAACTCTTAAACTTTTTCCTTTGTATTATTATCATTTTAAATAAAATATTTTTATAAAATAATTATCTTTTTTTTTTTTTTTATTTTTTTTTTTTTTTTTTTTTTTTTAAAATATTTACTTTAATTAATATATATGTTTCTCAATTTAAAAGAAATAATCACACTTTGATAAAAAAGATTTCATTTATTTAACTTAAATAAAAAAGATTTTGGTCGGAGGGCAGTTATAATAAGGAAACACCACAACAAAGACAACTTAGCAAAGTGGTCTAATGCGATTGACTAGAAATCAATTCCCTTCGGGGGCGCAGGTTCGAACCCTGCAGTTGTCGATACTTTTTGAATGAGTTCCTCTTCCCAGAGATTACGTTTCTTCCACGTGATTTTCTAAGGTACTAAGATCAAATTGTTTGTAATGTATTCATATGCATTTTAGAATTAAATGAATATTATTATATTTTAAAAAAAATTAAAAAAATAAATTTAAATATTTATTTTATCTTTTTTTTTTTTTAATTTTCGAATTTTTAAATTTTTATCATTTTAAATTTTAACAAACTGAAATAGTGTAATATAATTACTAGAACATATACAAGATGAGTTCAAGTGATGAAGTTAGTGTATACCTCGGGCTCTATAATACATACCATTACTCTAATAGTAAAATTGGGTATTTACAAAACTACTTAAGCAAAAACAATTGCTAATGAAGAAACCGGTTAAATCAATGATAATCAGCGTTTTGGAAATGAAAAAAATATCCTCGAAAGAGATGAGTGTTTTTTTATATGTAATTTTATTTATTATAAAAAAAAAAGAGGTTTTATTATGTTTCAAATTTTTGAATGATAACTGGAATTTTGATTTTTTTGTGGACACTTTACGTGATTGTTTAATTTTATTTTTTATCCATAAAATCACAGTATATCTTCTTTAATTTGATAAAGGAGTAGTATTTGTTTTTAGGCTTAATATTTTTTTCCATATTTTAAATTAAGTTTGGATCTAAAACATTTTTTTCTTTGATACCATTTTTTCTAAATTTAGGACTATTTTGTATTAATTGCTAATCACGAATTTTTGAGTTACCCTTTCAATAAGAATGGCGCAAAGGTTAACAAGACTTTTATTTATTTATTTTTAAAAGAATTTTTAGTAATTTAATTTTGATTATTTAATTTTTGTTATTTAATTTTTTTTTGGTAATTTTTGTTACTTAATTTTTATTTGTAATTCAAAGATAAAGTTCTGTAGCTTCAGGTATATTGGTATTTTCACTCTAAATATATCTGAATTCCATATCTTGCTAAACTTCTCTAGCCTGTTGAATATCTTCATTGTGTGTGTCACTACCGATTTTTAATACAAAAATAATATTTGTAATGAAACAGTATCAACATCTTTAAGGTGATTTTTATTATTAACAATCCAAAAATAGCAATAATTAATTTTATAATAATATTCTTAAAATAGTAATAATTAGTTTTATAATAATATCTCTTAAAATAGTAATAATTAGTTTTATAATAAATAACTCTTAAAATAGTAATAATCTTCCATAAATAATATATTTAGTTGAAAATGTCACATGTTTAACATATACTTACATTCATGTCAACTTGTTTATGACACTATAAATACTTCAGTAATAATTCTTTATTAAACATTATTATCATCTTTTAACTTCTAATAACAATAACAATAAATAATATAAATAACTAAAATACTTAAATAAAGGTTTCTTTACTATATTTCTTTATTAACTTAATAGGGGGGTCATATTGTAGTATATGACCCCCATAAGGTTTGAACATATAAAGTAGGAGTTCAAATTAATAGTATAAATTAAGAAATTTCCCTTTTGCTAAGTTGGTCACCTCACGCCTTATTTGTGCATAGTGCACTTTATTACATTTTGGCGACAGCTTCGGTTCGATCCCTGGAGGGTGCAGGTTGAAAGGGTTCCTGACCCATTCCAAAAATTAGTTAGATAGTTACAGTATTTCGCAAAAGTTTTGACCCCCTTTTTTAAAAATTTTTTTTTTTTATTTATCTTCAATAATTTTAATTTCAATAATTCAAAAAAATATAAAATAAATTTCAAAACATCTTAACTATATTTATTTATAAAAAAAAAATAAAATAAAATTTTTTTTTTTTAAAATTTTTTTTTTTTTTTTTTTTTACATATAAAAAAAATGGGTTCATTATTTTCAAAAAGATAATTAAAATTTTAATATATAATTTTATTTTTTAAAAGAAATTTTTTTTTTTATGATTTTTTTTTAATATTTTGTTAATCCACCTTAATTCTTATTTGTTTGTTGTATTTTTCTTGGGATTGATTGATAAAGACTATCAAATATATCTTGTTTAATATTTTTCAAAATTCTACCAATTAATAGATTGAAATTATGACGTGGATACCTGATAGAAATCAAATTTATACGTCGTTTTACCATTGACCATATATTCTCCATAATATTAAGAACTGGTGCACAGAGTGGAACAAATATCACCCTAATGTTCATTTTTTCGTAAAAACCGGTCAATAATTGGGTCATATGAATAGAGCAATTCTCTTGTAAAAAAAACGTATCACCAGATAAAATTAATTTCTCTTGTAAAGTTCTTCTATAACTCTGTATTGTTATTTCTAAATATTTTTCAGGATTTGTGTTAAACCTGACAATACATATACGACCTGCACCATGAGCTGTGCCACAGAATCATGTATATATTGAGCTGCCGCTTCATCTTCGTTTGGCCAAAATGTTGCTTTGAAGGTTTCTTACACCATGAATCCATTTTTTAGGTTCCATTTAATTAGAAAATCCTTCAATTCTGGCTTCGTCAACAAATATTACCCTTTTCCCAATTATCAGCTGCCCAATTTTGGAACTATTTTGCCCACCTTAGCTTTGAGCTAAGATTTTTCGGAAGGAAAATGTTTACTTTTTAAACTTTTAAAAAAAACATTATTATGTTGTAAAGACCTACTAGTTGTACTAATTTAAACATTTTTTTGAAAGCTTTTTCGAATATGTCTTTTTGTATTACTTAAATTATAACATTTCCCATTTAAAATTTTTTTTCTGCAATGTCTTTCAATTGGGTCGCCCATTTTTCTTATTATGTCAGGTATTGGATTTTCTTCAATTGTACCTTTTTCTAAATTAATTTTTTAAAATTCTCTTAACTGAGGACCTACTTCACTCATTATATCTTTATCTTTTTGATGACTTTTTCCTTTTCTGTAAATTTTTATAATCATTTTTATTAACTCTAAAAAAAGGGTCATTATTGTTTTTTTTTTCTATTTTTTATGAATATTCTGTCCTATTTGTTTTTAAAAAAAATTTTAAATATATAAAAAAATTATTATAAAATTGAATTATCTTCTCAAAAATTTAGACCCCATTTTCTATGGGCGCTTTAAAAAAAAAATTAAAAAAATTTTTTTAAAAAAATAAATTTTAAAATTTTATTTAACAAAAAAAAAAATAATAAAACCTTATAAGTTTATTTATAAATATTTTTAAAATGGATTTATAGTCAAAAACTTAAGATATGATTAAAATTAAATTTTTTTCATATATTTTTTATATGGGGGTCAAAACTTTTGCGAAATACTGTATCTTTAAAGGGTGAGGTAAATGTAGTATATGACCCCCATAAGGTTTGAAAATATAAAGTAGGAGTTCAAATTAATAGTATAAATTAAGAAATTTCCCTTTTGCTAAGTTGGTCACCTCACGCCTTATTTGTCCATAGTGCACTTTATTACAATATTTTCATAACATGTTCGGATGGTGTAGTTGGTTATCACGAATCCTTAACACGGATTAGGTCGTGGGTTCGATTCCCGCTCTGAATATTTTTTCCGCACTTCTATCTTCCAGATGATTTCAATTTAGATCAACCCCAATTTGTTAATTTTTTTCAAAAGTGATTTTTAGTTCAATAATGATATCTTTTGTATTTTTTTTCAAACGCCTCATATGGGGAAACGGTACCTTAATTGTGTTCATTTATTGGGTTTCTGCAACAAAATGACAAACTCTTACATCTAAATATTCACTTCAAGAAAATGAAGGATGATACTCTGTGATGTTTCTAGAAATTTGGTTTTTAATTTACTTTTATAAAAATTTGGTATCTAATTTACTTTTGATTAATTTTATTATATTTTATTTATTAAAGTGTGTTTCTATTGTCTGTAAAGTTAATAGTTTTGTTAAACCATCGGTTGAAGGTTGAATGTCTATTTGCGAATGATATGTTAACTCTGAGAGCTCACATAAATGGATTGGTAAATGTTTAACTGGTGACTGTGAATAATCAAGTTTCTACGATTTGTGCTTTACAGGTATCAACGCAAAAACTAGTTTGAATGAATGTGAATTTAATACAGAATATAATGCTAAAACCTGTACCAGAACCCAATGCGGCCTAGAGAATTGCACAGTGCAATATAAAATTTAGAAAAGACTCTGGTAAATATAATTCATTGGGGCCATACATTGACCAAGTTTGAAATTTCCTCTGTTAAATTGGTTTCACATTCTTCATTATCAAACTCTATTTTTTTCAATGTATATTTTAAAAATCAATATTATTAAATCTAAACTATAAAACTAATATTATAGTTATTATTAATTGGTTATAAATGGTAAGAAGATAAATATGGTTTCATTGTATATATATTAGTTTTTTATTCAAAATTTTTTTTTTATGATTTTTATTTTTAATTTTATTTTTTTAAAATTTTTTAAAATATTTTTTTTTTTTATAATTTTTTTTTTTAATTTTTTTAAAATAATTCATAATTAAACAACTAACTATCTTTATTACTATTTTTTAAATGTATTATAAATAAAAGTTCAAAATAAATAACTGGTTAAAATGATTTTATCAGAAAATAACAATAATATTATAAATAATAAAGAATATCCGTTTCTTAGTGAAGAAGAGGATAGTAAAATAGTAACTTTAATATGCAATCATTTATCATTAGGACAATTTGAATTAGCAAGAGCTTTAATTTTACAAATTTCAAATAATAACAATAATAATAGTAATAGTAATAATAATAATAATAGTAATAATAATAATAATAATAATAATAATAATAATAATAATAATAATAATAATAATAATAATAACAATAGAGAATTAACAACTAAAATATCATCAATACTTTATCATACAATTAGAAATGGACCACCATCAACATGGCTTACATCTGAAACTATACCATCATCACCACATTTATCATGGTTATGCTCAATTGAATTTTATCAATTAGATCAAGTAAGTAATTTTATTTTAATACTATAAAAAACCTATTAATAAGTATCATCATATTAATCATATTGATTTTTTAAAGGATGGATTTAAATCAAGTATAAGCGAAAAAACATTATTACTGTTAGAATTTTCAATATTAATCTATAGTTTATTAGGAGAGTTACAAAATAATGATAGAAATATTCAACCTATTATTCAAGAGCTTAGAGAATATCACTATGTACTTTTAACCCAGAGACAACCAAATGAAGAGTTTATCGATAGTTTATCTAGTTCACAATTATCTCAGATGGATAATATATTGTTAAAGAGCCGTTTAAATAATTCAACAATATCAATATTAAAAAATATATTATTAAATAATTCAGATTTTGGTACACATATAATCAAACATTTTACAAATCCATTCACATCATTAGACCAATCCTATTCACTATTACAATCTAAATACCCAGTTACCTCTCAATTAGAGCAATTATTATATGAGGTCATATTACAGCTCATTAGCCAAAAACAATTTAACCAAGTATATAATTTATTAACAATAATAGATTTATCAAATAATAGCGATAATAACGATAACGATGATAACGATGATGATAATGAATCAATAATTTCAAAACTATTAGAAAAAATTTCAAATTTAAATATAAAAAACTTAACAAATGACATAAATATTGAAGAAGTAACATTATTAAAAATACCATTTAGTAGTCAAACACAATCATCTCCATCTTCCCCATCTTCATCATCCCCATCACCTCCATCACCTCCATCTTTATCATCTCCCTCATCACCATCACTATCATCAACAATTAATCAAGAATCATTACCAAAAGAACAAGAAGATTCAATATCAAGATTAAAAATTTATGAATCTTTATTATCAAATAGAACATTAGAACCTTTAAAAACCTTCTTAAAACACGAAGAATCAATACTAATTGAACCAAAAGAACCAAAAGATTTTCCAGAATGTTTTGAAATATTAAAAAATTATTTTAATTTAAAACCTTCAATAAATAATAATAATAGTCCAAATATTAATGATTTTTCATTAGATTCAAGTAAATTAAAAAACAAAATTTTAAGAAATAATTTAAAACAATTCAATAGAGATGACCAAGATTATCAAGATAGAGAATCTATATTTTGGTATTGGTATTACCATTTCCTAAGAGTTAATGACCACCACTATTTAGAATACTCTTTGATGAAATCCATAGATCTAGTGAAGAACAAAAGATTTGAAGAGGCTTTAATTGTAATCAAACCATTCGAAAAGTTATTACCATTATTAATACTATTATGTTGGGATCACTTTGAAAATGATATAACCTCAAGAAAATCATTAACAAATTTATTAGATCTATCAAAAGGTAATAATAACAATAATAATAATAATAGTAGTAGTAACAATAATAATGATAGTAATAGTGAAGAATGTGAAGAAAAGATTTATAATAATGATAATAGATTTGATCCAATCTTACTACATTCAAACCATCAACTATCATATTTAATAGAACTAGCAGAATGGAGTTGTAGAAGAATGATAGCAGTACCAAATAGCCCAGATGGTCAAAATTTAATAATTGGAAATAAAGTTTATGATTTACAAAATGAAAAAATTAGAGGCAATAATGATGATAATAATAAAAATAATTTTCTTCCATCACCACAAAACGAATCAAATAATTCAACTTCACCCCCATCATTACTTTCTTTAGGTAGATCAATGACAATTGATATTTCAAATGAAATTTTAAATCAACTTTTTCATCACTCCTTCATCTATGTAATAAAAGATTGTTTACCATTTATAACATCATCCGATATTTTAAAATTTATTGAAAAGGATCCAGACTATCCAATTGGTTATACCCAAAATCAACAAAAGGAACCCCAAGATCAAGAAAAAGAAACAAAAGAACAAGAACAGTTTTTGCCAAAAATTGCATTAGAGAAATTAAATGATATGAATTTAATCAGAGGTTACTTTTTAATTAAAAATATCTTAAAATTTTTCCAATATCGTGCCACTTCAAGTGAATCAAATATAGATAAAGTTGAATTCGATAGTGTATTGGACGATGTTTTCGATTTATTCAAGGGTATTTCAAATTTAAATATTTCAATTGGTTTAATAGAGTCACTATATCTATCATTATTTTTATCAAATCAAGATTTAAAGAATAAAGTAAATAATAATAATAATAGTAATAATAACAATAATAATAAAAAAGAATTTTCACATTATTACAAGAGAATTTTAAATTTCAGCAATGATGATAATCAACAATCCCAACAAAAACAACAAGAAAATGAACAACAATCACCATTACTACAAAAAGAATCATCAACATTACCAATCCTATTAGAATCAAATGATTTAGATGATCAAATTATAAATTTAATTGATAACGAATACAATTATGAAAAGCAATCAAAAACCTCACACAAGAATTATTTAATTACATGCACAATGTTAGAATTATTAATTGAAAAATTATTATTAATTTTGAATTTTATTGAAACCTCATTCCTTCAACAAAAACAACACCAACAACAACAATATAACCAACAGCAGCAACAACAACAACAACCTTGCGAATCAATTAAAGAAAGGATTCAAATTATTAAATTAAATTTAGAGAATTTAAAACTAAGAGTCGATCTTTCAAAATGGATATTAAATTTTGGTGATGTAAGTAAAATTTTTTTTAATTTTTTAATTTTTAATTTTCAAAATACTAATTTTTTTTATAATTTAGAATTTTAATTATATACCATTTATGAGTTTAGTTTTAATGCCAACCAAATCATTATTATTAATGGCAATGAGAACAAATTATCCAAATTTTGAAATTTTAATTAAATACTTTCAAGTACCAAAAGAAATTGAAAATCAAGTTTATCAATATCAATCAATTCCAAATTTAATTAATACCTTATCAATCAGCAACAGTACATCAGTTTTAAACTTTGTAGATGATAATAACCAAGAACAATTTAAAGGAATTAATAACGATAATATATTTCAAATACTTTGTGATATTGTTATTGGTTCAAATTGCCAGGATAGTTTAATAAAAAAAATATTAGAAATTAATAATCAATATAATAATGATAATAATAATTGTAAATCATATATAAATTGGATATCGTCACTACATAAAGAATATTTAATTAAATCAATTAGTAATAATGATAATAATAATGATAATGATAACGATAATGATAATAACAATAATAATTTATTTAGTATTTTAATAAATCCACAATCAATACCCGATAGAGACTATCAAAATATAGATAAAATGAAACAATATATTAAAAATAAAACAATAATCATTAAATCATTAAATAAATTAATAAAGTGTTATAATGATAGTAATAGAATCATAAAAAGTCAAGAACAACCATCAACTGAAGTACCAGAGGCTCAAGTTAAATTAATTATTGAAAACGATAATGGTTTTTCAAGCAATCAAATTCTATCAACTACATTCAACTATATATTAGCAGTAAACCAAATTTATCAGGAAACCCAATCAATTGATTATACATCACTATTTAAAAATATTAATCAATCACCAAAATCAATTATTCAAGATATAGTATTTAATGAAAAAAACTATAAAAAAGCAGAGTTATTGTCAAATTTCATGCAAATTGATTTATCAGATTTAATCATTTCATCAATTTCACATACCATACCAAAAAATCCATCACAATCACTCTTTAAATCAACAACACCAGATAATTCAGTTTTAAATTCACCAATATTCTATATAGATAATAATAACGATGATAATAGGTATAATAATATCGATGAATCATTAAAATTAGACTCCAATATTGAAGAACAAATTATTCAATTCAATGAAGAGAATGGAAAAATTTTAAAGAAAAATATATTAACAATAGATTTGGTTAATTATATTGGCAAATCATCACTACTGTTATCCTGTTTAGTTTGTATGCTAAAATCACCAAGTTCAGAACAAGATGATATAAACTCATTTTTAAATTACTCAATTGAAAATTCAAAAAAACTTTCCTCTTCCTCAATTTCAAATTGGATAAATGAAATTTTAAAGGCACATACATTTTATAATAAATATTTCAATAATAATAATAATAGTATCAATTTCAACAACAATAATAATATAACAGATTTTAAATTAATTCAAAATTCAGAAAGTATTCATCAACAACAAAATTTCTTTTTTAAAATTATACAATACTTTGTAAATAGTGGTAATTTATATGAAGCTTTAAAAGTTGCCGATGAATATTTAGAAGAAGGAGCTCCAGATTGGTTATTAAAGCTATTGGTTTTCAAAGATAAATCTCAAGGCTATAGATATATTAGAAGAATGAGAGATAAATCAAAAGCATTAAATTTAGTTATGGAACTATTCAATCATTGGGATATTGCAGTTTGTATTGATATGATTGTAATTTGCAAATCATTTTTACAACCCTTAGACAATATCAATAACAACAATAACGAATTAAGTTTAAATGGGATCAAATATTCAGAACTAGACTATTTACATCAATCGTTTATATTATATCAAGCAATTTTAAATATTGAACAACCAAATCAATGGAATAATTGGCAATCAATTAAAGAAATTTGTTCCAATGATCCAATTGTTATGGTTAGAAGTTTATTGGATAGCAAACACTATGAATTAGCTAGAAAAATACGTGACCATTTTCAAGTAACCGGTATTAAGAAAGAAATTGAAGAGCGCTATTTATATTATCTATTGGTAGAAAAGGACGATGCATCATTGGCTTTACAAACTTTATCGGAACTAGGTCAAGAATCAATAATAATTTTGGAATCATTATTACCAGCAATCAAAGAAATCTCAATTAAATTATTTTTAGTTCAATTTTTATTATCATCAAATATGAGAAATCATTTATCCGATGAAAAACTAAAAGAATTGGTTCAACAAGAAATGGGTTATCAAGTTTTAATGGTATTGCCAGTAGATTTACAGAATGAATATTTACCATCAATAAACCATCCAAATCTAATTATAGAAATGTTAATTATGAATGAAAAAATACCATTGGTTTCAAAATTATTATCCGAAATTAAAGAACTAAAAGATGTTGATGACCTTTTAATTTACTATGCTAGAAAAGCCCTGTCATTTAATAGATATTTAGCCAAAAATGATTTAATGATGCTAAATGATTATTTAGAAAAAGAATTTGACGATGAACCTCAAAAACAAAAAAGAAAATCATTTTTATCAAACATTTCAATTATTAATCAAATTCAAAATAGTGTTCAAAATGTTACAAATAAAGAAAATAAAGCAAATCAATCTTTTCTTTCAAGTTTATCATCTTCAAATTCAGGTACATCAATTATTAATCAAATTCAAAATAGTGTTTCAAGTATTACAACCAAAGAAGGTAAATCCTCAAGTTTATCTCCAAATTTATCTTCAAATTCATCTTCAAATCCACCTTCAAACCCATCTTCAAACAACAATTCAATTGACAACTATGATGAAATTTTAAGATTAAACTATAATGAAGTTGGAAATAATTTAGATGAAACTGTTAATAATAATCATAATCATAATAATAATAATAGTAATAATAGTCAAATTAATATTTCAAAAAAATCAATTATTTTAAAAGATAAACAATTGCAAAAATGGTCTTTAACATGTACAGATTTAGTTGAAGATGAAAAAACCAGACATAACCATTTCTTCCCAAGATCACCCTCAATTAGTTTAGCAAAATCATTATTTGACTTGTGCATATCAAAAAAGAAAGTTTATAATACCTGCATTGAACTTTATAGCTATTTATCAAGATTATTATCATCAACCTATTCAGATGACAATTTATTAATTATAAATTTAATTCAACAATTATTAATGTATACTAAACTACAATTATTAAGAGATCCAAAGAGTGGTGGACCAACATTAGTGGCAGTTTGTGACACATATTTAGGCAAGGTTGAATTGTTCCAATCTTTAGTAATTTCAAAATGCTCAGGCTCAATGTCATTGGTAGACTTATCAGATCCACAAAAAGTAAGACAACTACGTGATCGTTTAATTCAAGAGGATCGTCTAAAACTAGCCATCGATGTAGCAAAGAAATGTAATATTCCTGCTGACTCTGCTTGGGTTTCTTGGGGTATCTCTTTAATTCAAACTGGAAGCTATACCGAAGCTAGAGAGAAATTTAAATATTGTTTAACACCATCTGGTCCTGATCGTCGTGTTATGTCACCTAGCAATACATTGTCACCCGATACAATTGACTCTGGTGTAATTCTAAATCAAATTATTCAATTATTAGAATCACCTCCCTCTCCAAACCACTCGAATTTTAGAAACCTCTACAACTATTTAATTTCAACACAACCCACAAATAATTCAACAAATGCATTCGGTAAATCAAACTCTATTAAAATTGATGATAGTATGTTTTATTCATTACTGCAACCCCAGTCACAAGTCTCAAACAATATAAATAATAATAGTAGTAACAATGGAAATAACTCAAATCCAATTGCAGGCTTCTTTTCATCATTATCAAATAACGATAAAAAGCCATCATCAACTTCAACACCGTCATCGTCATCGTCATCATCAACTACAAACCAACCTGCAATTTTAAATAATATAGAGATGGATAAAACTAGATTGGATGAAGCAATTTATTATTTAAAGAAATATGGTAGTGGTAGAATGTTAGTAAGCTTCTTAATCAAACATAATCTTTATAGAAAAGCATGCGAAACAATATTATCTGATATGTTACACCCAAATATTTTCTTTGATGAAATTGTAATGAAAGCCATTTCAAATAGTTCATTGCAATCCCTCTTTAACACAATTAAAGAAATCGATCCAAAACTTTTAGCCTTTCAAGATCACCTTTTAGCAGCATGTAAAATTATGAACGAACGTAAATCATATCAATTGCTTTTCGAGTTTCAATTATATATGGGTGATTATGTTAGAGCTGGTTTAACCTGTGTTAAAATGTTTATTTCAAATCCTGAAGCTTCGTCCACCACAAGAATTGGTTATTTAGAACAAGCGAACACATTCTTTAATCAAGGTCTATCAGATTATGTCAGAGGTTGTGTGTTATCAGAATTTGAAATCGAAAAGTATATTCAAAACATTCAAACCCAACTAGAAATCACCAAATTCTTTTATAAGCAATCTTCAATTTCAAACCAATCACCAATTCATAAAATCAGTATTTTCGGTTCACCAAAACAAAAGACTGAATTAGTAGAAAATTTAACAATTTATGGTAATTTCGAATTAGGTTTTAAAATAACCCAAGAGTTTAAACTACCATTACCACCAATCTACATCAGTGCATTCACTACAATGGCCAGAAAGAAAATGACCTCTAAAATAGAAGAGTATTTAAATAACTTGCGTACTTTTATTTCACCAGACGATTGGGACTCAATTGCAATGCCCGTAATAGAAACCCTTACACAAGAACTAAAAGAATTTAAAACTGCAGAAAAACTTACTCCAAAAATCTATTCAACCCACAATAGTGTTAAAGTTAGTATATTATGTGGAAAATTAAAAACTGCTTATTTAACCGCTGTGCATCATAAAGACCGTAATTTAATCCTATTGGTTTTAGAAGAAGCTAGAAGAACAAATCAATCTACAATTCAAAAATGGTGTGAAGAAGTTTTAAGTTCCTATCAATAAAAAAAAATATATATATTTTTATTTATATATTTTGTAAATTTATATTTTAAACAATAAAAATGATAATTATTTATTTTTTTATTTAATTAAAAAAAACAACATTTTATTATTTTTTATAATTTGTTTATTGTGATGGGCCTGAACCAAGTGAGAATTTCTTCTTTGAAGCATGATCTTGAATTTCTTTTGGTGTAACAGTACCATTTTTATCTTTGTTCATTTGAGAAAAGATCATTCTGGTAGTATTGAATGGATCAATGGCACCCAAGTTGGTAAAATCATCAAGAATTTGTTCATATGACAAGGCTCTTGTTGGATTTGATTTATTTTCAATTAAAAAGTCATCCTATTTATATGTTTAAAAATTAATATTTATATAATTAAATTATTTATATAATAAAAATACTTACAATATCTTTATCTAAGTGTTTGAATACTTCTCTACCTTTGGATTTGGCAGCTTCCTTTAAAAAAATGGATATAATTTTAATAAAATTAATATAAATTTTTTTTGTTTGATTAATTTTAATAAATTATAAACTTACCCCAGTTAATTCTTGGACATCAAGTTTACCAGTTTTCTTATCACGATTTTCAGTTCTGAATAAGTAGGTGGCAGTACGCTCTGGTTTTTTGGCACCGGCTTGTTTCAAATATTGAACAGTTTCTTGATAAGATACACTTTTGTCCATTTTTTTGGTGTTGAAACTCTTGTTGTTAAAGAACAAGTCTAAATCAGAGTTTATTTGACGCATTAATTCATCAGTAGAGAGATCCATTTTTTTTTTTGCTTAATTGAAGTTGAATAAAATGAACAAAATTAATTGTTTTTATACTTGCAAATTTAAGAGAGAAAAAAAAAAATAAAAAAATAAAAAATAAAAGAAATAAAAATAAAAATATTTTATTATTAAAAAATTAATAAATTTTAATTTAGTATAATGTTTATTGTTTTATTTCCCCAAATGATATACATTGAGCCCCCATTTTTCAAATAAATTTTTTTCGAAATAAAAAATTATAATTTTTACTGTGAACACACTATTTTATTTTTAGGTGGGGGGTAAAGTGAATGGGGGTGGTGGTAGTATTGGTAGAGGTGGTGTTTTTATTGTATTGCTTTATTTGATAAGTGTTTACATACCAATTAAAACAATAACTGGGTATTTTAATATCTGTAAAGCTCTAAAATAGCAACATGTTGTTTTTATATTTATTAAGAAAAAATAATTTATTTTTTTTATTTATGATGTGTGTGTATAGGATTTTATTTGTCTATATGTGTGTATGAGTTAATACTTTTTTAGATGCTTTACCTTTATGTAAATTACTTTTAATATTTACATTTATTTATTGTTTTTTTATTGTTTTTTTATTTTTTTTTAAAATATGTGTTTAAAAATTTTAATTTGAAACTTTAATGAAATACGAAAATAATAAATATTATTAGTGATTTTTTTTACTTAAATTTTCTTTTAAATAAAAATAAAAAAATTAAATAAAAAAAATAAAAAAATAATAAAAATAAAAATAAAAATAATAAAACAAAATGTTTTTATTTTATTTTATAATAAAATTCACAATATAACTCATTTTTATTTTTTTTAAAAAAAAGATAAAACAATAATAGTAAAAATAATAGTAATAATAATAATTAAGGTTTATTGTTATTTAAATATTAAAGAAAAATTATAAATATCTTTTTAAAAAAAAAATAAATAATAAAATAAATAAATAAAAAAAAATGTCTCTTTTAATTAATAACCCAATATCAAATTTAACCTCGGTATATAACAACACCAATAATAATAATAACAATAATAATAACTTTAAAATTACTAGTGGTAATAATAGTTATAATTTTAATTACAATAAAGAATTTAATAATAAAAAAATTAAAAATCAAAATTGTTTTTTACCATCCTACTCAATACTATTAAACTCAAATAATATCAATAATAACAATAATGATGAACATGATAATCATTACACACCATCAAACTCAATAACTATACCCACCCATATTTTTCACAAAGACAACAATATTAATGATAATAATAACAAAATAAAAAAATCAAGAAAAAGTTTTATTTATAAAGATACTTTTAATTTTAATATCTACCAAGTCTCAAATTCATATTGTATGGAAGTTTGTGGAGTTTCATATGACACCTTAATTTTTTTATGGACATTTATAAAAAATAATAACCCACCATTTGAAGCAAATTCATATCAATTAGTATGGACATTAAATTGGTTAAAAGACTACACTCAAGTAAGAGAAGGTGCTTCAAAATGGGGTGTTGGAAAAGATCTATACCAAAAAGCAATTAATAATATAATTAAATTTTTTGGAGAAGAACTAAACACTGTATGTAATATAATATTTAATATGTAAACCTTTATTTTTTAAAAAATACTAACTATATCATTTTTTAAAATAGATATCTCTAAATGAACGTAATATTGGAAGTAATAATTCAAAAAACAAATTAGTTATTGATACCCTCTTTGTTGAAACTCAAAAACCCTCAGACAAAGAAACCCAAAGTATTTTATTTTCAAAACAACATCAAAAATATGGCTTCAAATTCGAGTGCTGTGTTAGAAACTATGATGGCTTAATATGTTGGTTTAAAGGTCCATATCCAGGTAGTGCTCATCTATTAACAATTTTAGACAAATCCGGATTATTACAAAATGTTGGAGATGATGAAAAAATTCTAGCAAAGTCTGACTATATTGGAATAAGTAAGAAGTTCGAATTTCCTTTAAAAACCACTCATCTTGACAGTTTAGATATTGATGAACTATTAAACTATGAACAACAAAACACCTATTGCCAAATTTTGGATAACACTATGTCTTTTTTGAAGAAATTCCGTTTTTGTTGTGATAGAATCAGAACAAAGGGCTCAATTTTGGAACATGGTATAAAACTTATTGCAAATATTCATAATTTAGAATTGGAAAATAAACCACCAATTCAATGTTTAAAAAAAAAAAAAATATAAAATAAAAAAAACAATATTAAATTAATTTGTAAAATATTGTTTATTAAACCAATTTATTTTTCATTTATTCTTATCATTATTATTAATTTTAATTATTTTTATTAAAGTAGCAACATTTACATTGCAAATATTGAAACTGTAATGTAAAGTAACTTTAAAGTATAAATAAATAATAAATAAACAATAAAAATAAAGATAATAAAATTATATGATTTTTAAAGTTTATAGTTTCAATATTAATCATTTAAGGTAATTATTATTTACACAATTTGTTTGGTTTTAAAATAAACTCCCCAATACCTTTTTTATCAAAACTAAAATATTAATAACATCATATATGTTTTAAAATTTATTAAAATAAAAATATCGCTATAAAAAATTATTAGATTGTTTTTAACCCAACACTCTAACTTTTTATAAAAATTAATTTTTATATTTAATTTTATATTTTTAATTTAATTTAATTGTTCTTTTTTTTTTAAAAAAAAATTATAAATAGTTTTAAAAATAAATTTTTTAAATCATTTCAAAACAAAAAAAACATTCAATTTATTTATTAAAATGACACTTTTCAGTAAGTATAGTTATATTAAAAAAAAATTAAACTTGTTTCTAATATATAACAAAAAAAAAAAAAAAAGATTCAATCACAGTCTTAGGTAGCTCCGGTTCATCAATGAAATCAAGTGTTGCTTCAAGTAGCTCCAGTGCTTCATTCGGTGGAAACAATGTTGCTCACAAAGTACACAATTCACCAAAATGTAAACAACCAAATTTCAGACCATGTCCACCATCACCACCAAAACACTATACCCCATGTCCACCATCACCAAAACACTGTTAACAGTTTCAGCAATTACCAAAAAAACCAATGCACCTAGAAATATTTATAAATAAAATATTATAAAATACTGCAATTATATATAATTATTTTTTTTTATTTTTTTTATATTTAATTATTTTTAATTATTAAAATTATTAATTATTTTAATTGTTTAAATGACTATATAAGGTATGATTAATTAATTAAGTGAATTTTGATGATAATACATTACAAAAGGAAAAAGATGATTTAATTAATTATAATTTTATCACCGGAAAGATAAAATCATATAAAAATCCTGGTTCTACTGAGACTCGAACTCAGATTACGGGATTCAAAGTCCCGGGTGCTAACCAATTACACTATAAAACCTTTGATGTTATTTCTAAAAATAAGTTTTGACTAGTCGAAAATAAATTTATAACAATAATTTTATTTAATTTAAAAAAAAATGAATAAAAAATGAAAAACTCGTTAATAATTATCTTCTATAAAAACATTACCAATTATAAAAACCTTACTGGATCAAAAAATGAGAATATAACAATAAAATATTTTAATTCTAATATTTAATATATTATTAAAAAAAAAAAATAACACGCCGAACCACTTTTTTTTTTTTAAATTAACTTTTTTTTAAAAAATTACACATAAAAAAAAAAAAAGTGGTTCGAGGTGAATACTATTTTATTTTATTTTATGTATAATTCCAATTGATTTATTTTATATATTTATCATTTATTTATAAAGATGAAGAAGAAGAATTTGTTGGTAGAATTGAGTGTTTGGTTTGGAAAGTTTGATTAGGTGATAACTTTACAGGGTTATTAATTACACCAATTTCTATACAAATCATTTTATGATATTCTTCATCGCCGAAATCCTCCATTTTCTTTGATTTTTCGATCCATGGATTCCAAACTACAACATCTGGAATGGATTGATAATCATAAGTAAGAGTGACTGATGTTTTCTTTTGTGTATCAACCAATTGTAATGGTTGGTAACTTGAACCACCTTGAGTTGGTATAACATTTAAATAAACGCTATCGACTTCTTGATCTATAGTGACCTCCTTACGATTCTCTTTCTTTTTCTCCATATTTTTCATTTTATCAATGTACTCTCTGCCCTTTAAACCGAGAACATGTACATTCTTGATGTCAGAGATGGAATAATAGGTATGAAAAGCCAATTGGAACTCCATTGTGTTTTGTTGACTTGTGTTTTTAACTTCATATTCTAAATCTAAGAAATCTGGGTGTAAAGTAACTCTATAGAACACTATAAACTCGCTACTAACGCCCAATATCTTATCAGTTGCTTCGCTGCTCTTTAAAAAGAATTCAATCTGAACAGATTGTGCCTTTTCATCGACCAATGCTTTATTTACATCCCAATCCAAATTTCTAGCAAAACCATGTGTTTGAATTTTACCTGGTCCAAATTGGGGCCAAATCAATGGTATACCACCTCTGATTGCTTTATTTTCTTGAAATGCTGACTTTTCACTCATAAATAAATTTTCATTTGAATTGATTTTAAATGATGTTACATGTGCACCTAAAAAAAGTAAAGAATAAAGTTAGTTATTATTATTATTTATTTTTTTATTAAAAAAAAAAATAATATTATTACCATGTAAATAAATTTCACAAGATGATGTTGATGTTTTTAATACAAACTTTGGTAAATTATTTACACCTGCAACTACACTTAGATATTTGGTGTTCCATAGTTTTTGAAGTTGCTCAATACTTAAAGATGATGCAGTGGCCATTTATTATATTTTATTTATAATTTTATTTTATTTTATTTTATTTTATATTTATTTTTAAGTTTATTTTATTTTATTTTATATTATAAGTTAATTTAATATTTTATATTAATGTTTTTTTTTTATTATTATGAAAAAAATGATAATTTATGTGAATGAAAAAAAAAAAAATAAAAAACAAATGAATTTAATATTAAAAATTAATAATAATACAAATTATTTGTGTGAAAAAATTAATTTAATTACAAAAAATAATAATAATAAAATTTTTTAAAAAAAAATAAAAAAATTAAAAAAAAAAATAAAATAAAAATTTTACAAAAAAAAAAAAATAAAAAAATATAATAATAAGTTCAAATAATTTCTAAAAAGAAGTAATCAATGGAAGAAGGTGAAAAAAAAAATAAAATTCAACACTATAAAAAAATGGGTATGAATATCCATTATGACCGACAATGAGAAACATAGCCACATTATATATATTTAGCTTATTTTAAGCTATAAATAAAAAATAAATTCTGTTAATACTTTTCAATTTTATTTATTTTCCAAAATAAAATTAAAATAAAACCATTCCTTTAAAATATCAAATTTATTTCTTTTTATATCCAAATTTTTTTTTTTTTTAATTTCAAAAATAAATTTTTTTTTTTTTTAATTAAATTTAAAAATTAAAATAATTTATAAATATAATAATTGGTGATTTATATTAATACTTTGTAATCATTAAATACATATTATTATTATTATCATTATTGTTATATATTGTTCATCACCGCTTCACTTCAAAATAAATATCAAATAATATTTTATAAAAAAAAAAAAAAAGAAAAAAAATTAAATAAAAAAAAACAAAATAAACCCATTTTTTTTTTTTTATGATTTTTTTTATATTTTTTTTAATTTTTTTTTAAAATTTTTTTTTTTTTTTTTTTATTTTCAACATCAAATCATACAAAACTTTTTTTATTTCCTCTTTATTTTTTATATTTCAATAACTTGTAATTTTATTTCTATATAAAATTTTATACTTTTTTTTTTTTTTTAATAAACACATTATTTAAAGAAAAGAAAAAAATAAATATATATATAACAAACACTCATATAATTTGTATACTAGATTAAAAAAAAACACACTCATATAATATTATCATAAAATGTCAAAACCAAATGTTTTAATCCTTGGTGGTGTTGGTTTCATTGGTAGAAATTTAGTTCAATATTTAGTTGAACAAGGTAATTGTGCCAAGATTCGTGTTGTTGATAAAGTTTTACCAGCTACCGCTTTCCTCGGCAAAAAACATCAAGAAGCTTTCAACAACCCAATTGTTGAATATATGCAAGGCAACTTAACCTCAGCAACCAGTATCACCAAAGTTTTCACTTTAGCAGACGGTGCCAAATTCAACTATGTTTTCAACTTAGCTGGTGAAACCAAATATGGTCAAACTGATGCTGTTTACAACGAAAAAGGTAAGTTGATCAATCAACAACCATTTTTTAATTAATTTTCAAAATTAATATTAATTTTTTTTTTTTTAAAATTTCAAAAATTCCAAATTTTTTTTTTTTTAAAATATATTAGTTTATGATGTTTCAATTAAATGTGCTACTGAAGCTGCCAAAGTTGGTGTTGATAAATTCATCGAAGTCTCAACTGCCCAAGTTTATGATTCAAAGAAAAAAGCTTCAAAAGAAGCTGATAAAACTGATCCATGGACTCTTATTGGCAAATACAAATTAAAAGCTGAAGAAGACTTAAAGAAAATCGCTGGGTAATATAAATCTCATATTTAATAGGTTTTATAAAAAATCACTTAAATACTAATATTATTTTTTCTTATTAGATTAAATTTAGTTATTGTTCGTCCATCAGTTGTTTATGGTCCAGGTGATGTTTTAGGTGTTTCACCAAGAATTATTACTGGTGCTG